TGTCTACTAGATTGCAATCTCCGGCACCTAATTTTCACTATACAGTGAACACACTGGGTTTGTTTCTTTAGTATTTTGTTTTGTTTTGATTTTTTTTTTGTTTTGCTTTACGTGAGATATAGAGAATTGTGTCGATAATATAAAAATTAATATTATATGTTGAATGTTGATTTTTGTGAAAGAATAAAATATATATTAAAAAGCGTCTCATTAAAAAAAAAAAAAAAAGAAAATCAAAAGAACACGCCCAAAGGTTTGCTTAATTTTATGTTTGAATTTGATTTAACTATTATTTCAATGTAATATTTTGTTTAAAATAAAGTTATGCATTTTATTTTTATTTTTAAAAAAAATGTATGAATTTTATAATAAAAAATAATTTGTATTCCAAGACAAACAAACGGAAACAAATATATCAAAATAGATTTTCAATTTTTTAATAATAATAATAATAATAATAGATATAGTATGATGTGAATCAAAGAATATGTGGTTGATAAATTACAAAGTGTTATAAAATGTAAATGTGGAACCAATAATAATAATAATATATTGAAATGATAGATACATTATAATGTAAATCAAAGAATATATGGTCGATGAATTTAATTTAATTTAATTTTTTTTTATGACGTGAAAATTAGCGACTGCTACTCGAAAGTGCGCACTGGGTAAACCTCCGATCGAACCTAATACTATGTAAACCAGGCTCAACGAATAAATGACACTAAACGAACCATGTGTGGCAGGTGACCTCATCCGTGGTTTGAACCCATAAAATTTCAGTTGCATTGAATTTGTTTTCATTCAAATCAATTCTACTCCATAATAATAATAATAATAATAATAATAATAATGGTCAATTTTGGGTGATGGGTTTGGATGTAGTTTCCATATTCATGATAATGTTTTGTTTTATTTATTTATTTTTTTTAAAATAAAATTAAATAAGACATATATAGTTTTATTTTCTTTAAAAAAAAATAAAATTCCCTATTATTTACTTGTAATTCGAAAATTGTATTTATCTTCTTTATAATTTTAAAATTGAATGACATTTCATCGAATTTTTAAACATTGTACAAGAATATTTTTAGAAAATTTTATACAATATTTTAAAAAATACAAGAAGTCTCATACAATTTTTAGAAATTAATTTTATGAAATATTTTCTAAAATATGAGGGAGTCTTGTGAATTACTAACTTATAGAAATATGGTGCCGATTTTTTAAATCAAGTGTGAATTATAAATAATTTTACCTTAAAAACATAAAATTGATGAGGTAATTGAATGCTTTTAATATTATTTAAATTAAAGTAAATAGTTTATTGATATATGTTCCCTCCTTCAAATCCAAATAAATCATTATGAGTTTTGCAGTAAATTAATATATACTAATATATTTTATTAATCAGTAAAAACATATAAAATAATTTTGATATTTTTGCTATTTATATTAATTTATGAATTAATTTAATTACACGTATAATAATATACTTGTAATTTATGTAAAATTTAAAAAGTATTTTTGATATTAATGTGTAATTATTTTTACGCTAATAAAAAATAGATATTTTTGAATAAAATAGACAAATATAGTAAAATGGGTAAGTGTATTTTAAAAGATTTTTTTTTTCTTTTATAAATTTGATACAATTTTTTTTTGAAAAATATGAATTGATTTAATTTTATTTGAATTTGTTTCTTTCTATTTACATTTAAAAGCTAAATAAATAGATATTTGTCATTTTTATCCATCACTCGCTGACATTAAGTGTGCCGGTATCGTGTTTAGCAAAATATAGTCGTATCTGGTCTAGATTAAATACCACATCGAATCTGTTACATTATATTTTTTCTTGTTAATTTTAATGATAAAATAAAAAATAATTAAAATTATTTATAATGAAATCAAAATTAATAAATTCTCAATTTTAAAACTAAAACTAATTATTTTTTGTTTTAATAAGACTGTCTTTTGATTATTTTTCAATTTATTTTAAGTATATAATATTATAAATAAATATCAATTTAATAAATCTCATCCAACTAAACTTCCAACCACAGATCCAATAAGTAGCCAACTGTACCTAATTGTTTGATATTTCTAATATCATTTTTTATTTAATGTTTCAATTTTTACATTTCTTACCAATCTAAGCATATTATATATTTTTATTATTTTAAATACAATTTATAAAATTATTTTCATAAAAATTTAGCAAATTACCTGAATAAGAATGTTTTTATAAAAAAATAATAAAAAATAAATATTTAATGCTATATGTTTTTAATATAAAACTTAATATTTTAATTCTTTGTTAAATTTTTACGTAAAACTTTTTAACTAAAATATGTGCCCACACATTTGAAGATAATAATTAAAACATTTTAATTAATAGCAAACAAATCATACACGCAGGGGCGGATGTATGGGGGCGGGGGGCAACGGGGCTCTCCAGTCTCCTGCCTCCGGCCTCCGGCCTCCCACCCCATCTTCTTTTAATTTTTAATTTTTTGTAATGTATAATATTAAAAATATAATAAATTAATTAAAAAATTGTTAAAAATTGATAAAATATTTATGTAAAAAAAAATTTTAATTTAAATTTTGAATACTAAAAAAATTTATATCATAATAATTATTTAATACTATAAAAATAAATATGAATAAAAAAATAATAAATAATAATTCAAAAAAAAATTCAAAAAATTCTCAATCAAATACACATGAGATGATATTTTTAAAAGCTATTTTTTTAGTAAATGTTTTTACTATTTATCAAGTTCATATAATACAAAATTCATCTCGTAAGATGCAATTGTCACTATAGATTGATATTTTGCAAGATTTTCGAAATATGATAACTCCATTGATAAAATTATTGGATAACAAATAGATTATGATAAATTTGAAAAATTAGCCCCCCCCTCTCATCCCGGTCTGATTCCGCCTCTGTATACACGCATGTTATTTTTTTTAAGATTTAAAGGTTTCATCTTTTGTAATTTCAAATTAAATTAATATTATTTATTTTACAAAATATTACATCAAAATATATAAATAAAAATTTAAAAATACTCAAATTAATTTTAAATCACAATCAACAAATAATATTCAATTATAATTATAATTATAATATTATTTAATATAATATAAAAATAGATATTTGAATTTCTATTTTGAAAAAAAATAAAATTATTTTTGTAATATTACTATAAAATAAAGATGCGTTTATTTTTGGGTTTCATTTTCATTTCTTACTAATGATATTTTTTTTTTTCATAACAAAATTATTTATAATTTACTATTATTCACCGTGATTTAAAAATTATAGAAGATCCCATTATATTTTTAGAAACTATTATGATTAATAATTTTGTACAATATTTTTTAAAATACGAAAATATTTATATAATTAGTGAATTATAAGATATAATGATGCAAAATTTTCAAATCAGTAGACTATAGCCTATAATAACTTTCTTAAAAAATATTGTATATACTTCATTTGTTCGTATAGAAAGCCAAAAAAATACACATCGTCATTTTTATTCATTCAAATACAAAATATATATATATATATATTTACTAAATGTGATCATACTACAAGGTTATAATTATCCTTAAAAAATTATATTTATTTATATCAATATTATTAAAATATGTAAAAAAAGTTTACATATAAAAAATACCACAAATTATAATTTAAGTACTCCCTCCGTCCCAAAAGTATAGTCTTATTATATTTGACATGAAATTTAAAAAATATTGATATAATATTGATAGTTGGTAAAAAATAATAATAAACCCTTGTCAGTATATTAGTGTAAAAAATAGTGATAATTGTGTAATAATAATAAAAAAGTAAGAATAATGTTACAGTGATATGGTTATTTATGGAAATGAGACTATTGTTTTGGAACGAAACAAATAGTAAACAAGACTCTTATATTGGAACGGAGGGATTATTATTTTTAACTTTTACACACACAAATGTAAAACTATTAAGTGAATATAGTAAATAATTTTTTATTTCATAAAATATTAAATTATCATTTAAATAAAAAATTAAAAAAAAAAGAAGAAAAAAACCTAAGAGCAGCAACTTGGGTTTCCTCTACAGCCGATTATAAATATAAAATTATTATTGAATTTCTCTCCATATAAATCCAACAGCAATTCTCTCTCTCCCTTTTTTTCAATCTTAAAATAATTTAAATTATATTTATATTTATATTTTTGTCCTATATAAATTTTTATTATTAAAAAATAATATATATTAATATAATTTTATTTAAATTAAATTTTAAACATGAATTATATTGATATATATATATGTTTTTTTGTTGATGCAAAGGAAAAATATTATGATATAGAAAAAAAAAGTAAAAATGGAATATAATGTAGAAAATGTTCAAAAAGTATTTATGGGTGCGTCTACCGTAAGATTTTGGTTTTGGATTTTGGTTTTGAATAATAAAATTTTAAATTGAAATAGTTGTTTGATATAATATAAATATGTATTAATGTGATGTTTTGAATGTAAAATTTAATTTTAGTATAAAAATCGGATGTTGAATTAGACATGTGATGAATGTATTATATATGTAACATAAAAAATATTCTCTCAGTCCCAAAGATTATAATATCTTCATTTATAAAAGATTTTAAAAAATAAATTAAAGTAATAATTATGAATAATTTAAAAAAATAGAAATAATATTTTTTATAAAATGGGGACTCATTTACTAAATAAAAAAAGTATAACAATTATTTTGGGAAAGACGAAAATAAAAAAACACTCAATTCTTTTGGATAAAGGGAGTAATATTTTATGTTGAAATAGTAACATTTTATAAATGAATAAAATATAAATATTATATATATATAATTTAATAATATTGGGTGAACGAATTCGAACTATTCTAATTATATTAATAATAGTATAATTTAATAATTATAAATCTAAATAAATATATCTACAATCCATCGTCTATAAATTACCAACCTTATTAATCAGGCATGTATTCCCCAGCACGCAGTAAACCACCGCGCACGACGGCGGCCGGCGGCGGCGGCGGAAGAAAATGAAACCACATCTAGTGTTCCTGCCGACCTCCGGCATGGGTCACATCATTCCTCTCTTCCAGCTGGCGAAGAAGCTCGTCCTCCGCCACGGCTGCCACGTCACCTTCCTCGTGATTACCACGGAGGCTTCCGCCGCTCAGGAGAACTTTTTCCGGACGCCGGCGGCGAACGTACCTGGCCTCGCCGTCGTCAACCTCCCGCCGGCCGACGTCTCTGAAATTCTCACCGGCGACATGAGGCTCGTCACTCAAATATCTGTAATCGCGCGGGAATCGCTGAAACCGTTGAAATCGATTCTGACGGAGCTCGGAGAAATCGCCGGCGTAATCATCGATATATTCGCGACTGACGCCATTGACGTCTGCCGGGAAATGTCGATTCCGGTGTACTCGTTTTTCACGGCGTCGGCAGTTCTGCTCGCCTTCACGCTGTGTATCCCGACGCTCGACGGCGAAGTCGCCGGCGAATACGTCGACCTTCCGGCGCCGATCGAGATTCCGGGATGCCGGCCGATGAGGACGGTCGATCTTCTCGATCAGGTCAGAGATCGGAAAAACGCTGAATATGAATGGTATGGTTAAATAGCATTATTTACTTATTTATTCAAAATTTACATTTATTTATAAGAATTATGTCATCCGTTAAATTTATTTTTATTTTTCTTTTTAATTCGTACATTAAATTTACTCGATTATTAATTTTAACAAAGGCAACAAATTAATACTATTTTCGTTTGCTTTTTACATTTATTTTTTACATAATTGTATTTAATATTGAAAATATTATTTGTATAATTTTTTTTGTAAATATCATTATATTAGTATTATAAGATACTAATAAAAATAATTTTATCATTTTTCCTTAATTTCTACTCCTTCTATCCCAACTCAGAATATCATTTTTATCATTTTAGTCTATTTCACTCGGTATCTCTTTCCTATTTTAGTAAAAGTAATCATACACCACTACGAAAATACTCTTACTTTTTACTTAAATTACAAATATATTATTACACATAAAATTACTTTTGATATACAATTACTTTTGACATAAAATCAAATGACAAAAATGTTAAAACGTCTTACACATTTGCACTAACTAATAAATACTATTATTTCTAAATCTACTCCAAAACTCCAAAAGACCCGTTTGGACCGGGACGGAGGAAGTACTATATTTTGATATAATAATTAATATTAAAAAATCAATATACAAAAATAAATATTTTTGATATAAATATATTCTTTTCGTTGTCCGAATCAAATATATCTATTTTTTCATTTTCATTTATCCAAATTAAAAATATTCATTTACTTTTAGTAAATATATTTTTCAATTAAATATCAATATATCTCTTATTTTATTGTTCTTATTTATTATTATTATTTTTTTATCTCCCTAATGACAAAAGTAAAATAAATTTATACTACTTTATTACATTATATGTCTATAAAAAAATAATCAAATTCCAAAATTACAATTTCAGCACAAGACTGAATGTATAAAAACTCATTATCATAATTTATACTCTATCCGTCTCATATTTATATATCCATTTATGTTTTTACATTGAAATAAAGTAGAAATAAAGGTAAAAGTACTAAATTAACCCTATTAATATTGTATAATATAAAGGTAATGCCATTCGTGTAATATATTATAAATTGTAAGGGTATTTATAATGTTAGATAGATAATACAATTATTAAAAAAAATGAATATTTTGTTATGAAACGAACCAGAATAAAAAAATAAATAAATTGTTAAGAGAGAGCGGGAGTATTAATTAGATGATATAATTTTATAAATTTAAGTTGTAGCTATCTCCATTGAGTGCTGAATTTAAATATTCAACATTTAATCCATGCGGATGTATAAAATAGTAAATTGGGTGCATAAGTCGTAGTTGAGGTGAAAAAAAAAGAAATTGTGATGTGGAGATGGTATAGAAACTGTTGATAAGTTTCTTTGATGATAAGTTTCTTCCTCGGATTCTTTCAAATTTTATAATGTATTAAAAAAATATTATTTCTTCCGTCCTAGAAGAATGGTCTTATTTTTTTTATTTTCGTCTGTTCTAAAATAATTTTTATATTTTTTTATTTAGTAATTATGATTTTTACTTTATAATTAAATTATTTCTACTTTTTCACGACTACACATAATTATTATTCTTAACATTTTTTTAAAAAATCATTCAAAAAGTAAGAGTAATTTACTATTTTACATTATACTTTATACCGATTTTTAATTAAATATTATTATTCTTTAATTGTAGTGTCAACTCCCAATAAGACATCTCTTCTGAGACAGATGAATTAATATTTTATTAAATAGTAAAAATATGGATAGTAATTTGGGCCGGCCTGATCTGATTCTAAATCGTGCTGGACAGCACGGTCCAATTTGCAATTGGGCCCGGAAAGGCCGGGCTGTGCCGGGTGCTTTTTTATTTCTAAGTCTTTTTATTTCTAAGTTTTTTTATTTTTTTTAATTATTATTATTTTTTATTTTGAATCAATTTAGAACAGACTTCATCCGTTCCCGTACAATAGTTATGTTTACCATTTTTGTCTGTCCTAAAACAATAGTCTTATTTTCATAAATAATCATATTCCTATAAAACTACTTTTACTTTTTCATTATTATTACACAATTGCCACTATTTTTTACACTAATACACTCACAATGACAAAAAAATCTTTTACTCGTATTTTTTACCCATTATCAATATAATATCAATATTCCTTAATATTCCTTAAATTTCGTATCAAACACAACCCATTCTAAAACTGGGACAAAAGGAATAATATATTTTAATAATAAAAGTAAAAAATTGAACTCAGAACCAAACATCTACAAAATCTAAAACCTTTATCATAAAGTTATATTGTAATTTTTATTATATTTCAAAAATTAATATGTATATATAAGTTTATTAAAATTTCAATATTAATTTTACAATCAGAACGGGTTAGGCACGGTCTGACCTTTGTGACCCCGAACACGGTCCGAAAATTTTTATGCCTATTTTTTGAGGATCAAGAACAATTTTTTGTGCTGTACTTGAATCGAACTTTCGGAGCAGTCGTTAGTTTTGCCAACCCTAAGTAAAAATATGTAAAAATTGGATATTTTTGTTCTCACTTTTTGTATAAACTTTTTGTAGGTGTAATATTATATTTTAATTTAAATAAAAATTAAAAATATTATTTTATACAATTTGATATGATATTTAAAAAAAGAAATTAAATAGCATTAAAAGATTCCAAAATTGTTGTTGTCTCAAGGTACCTTCACCATTCGCGGCGGTTATCGGAAGCTTCTGGAATCTTCTTGAATGTTTGGGAAGATCTCGATTCCGATCGGATTAAAGCACTGAACGAAAACCCGTTCTTCAGGAACCTTCCGGTGCCGCCGGTTTATCCGGTCGGACCGGTGATAAAAGACGGCGAAGATCTCTCCGGAAAGGACGCCGGAATTATAGCCTGGCTGGATTCTCAGCCGCCGGAATCGGTTTTGTTCGTCTGCCTCGGCAGCGGCGGAGCTTTATCGAGCAAGCAATTGATCGAATTGGCATGGGGACTGGAATTGAGCCGGCAGCGGTTCGTTCTGGTGGCGCGCCGGCCGACGGACGGCGTCGCCTCCGCCGCGTACTTCACCGTCGGCGGGGAGGACGGCGGCGATCCGTCGTCGTATCTGCCGGCCGGATTTGTCGACAGGACTGAAGGAAGAGGACTGGTGGTGCCGTCGTGGTCGCCGCAGATGGCGATTCTCCGGCACGGTTCCACCGGAGCGTTTCTGTCGCACTGCGGATGGAATTCGACGCTGGAGAGCTTAGTTCACGGCGTTCCGATGGTTGCGTGGCCGCTTTATGCGGAGCAGAGGATGAACGCCACCATGCTGGTGGAGGAGGCCGGAGTGGCGGCGAGGGTTTCGGCGGCGTCGGCGGCGGTGGGGGGAGAAGTGGTGGGAAGGGAGGAGATTGCGAGAGTGGTGAAGGCGGTGATAGAAGGAGAGGAAGGGAAGGCTATGAGGCGGAGAGCTCAGGAATTGAAAGAAACCGCCAGGGCGGCGGCGGAGGACGGCGGCGCGTCGGATCGGTGGCTCGCCGGCGTTTTGGGTTTTTGTGTGGAAGATAATAAGTGAACGTGGAATAGTAGAAGTCATCGAGTAGCGATACCCCACTTGTTTTGTTCTAGTCGAATTTGTTTGTGATTTTTTTAATTTTATAAAATTGTATTTTTATCAATTTTTATAATTTTAATTTCGATTACTACTCTCACGTGTTTGTTTGGAGGTTTTTCTTAAAATTTGTTCTATTCATCCCTCCCACATAATTTGTCCATATATTCTGTTTTCGTCCGTCCCACATAATTTGTCCTTTTTAAAAAAAAAAATTAATTATACACTTTAATCATATTTTAAAATTTAAAATTTAAATTTTTTTAATCTTAATTAAACTATATATTTATCTTAATCTTAATCTATAATTATTTTTACTGAATAATTTTTACTAATATATTTTTTAATTACTTACTAATTATACTTTATCTTAATTTTCGTGTCTACAGTAATACACCCATAATTTTTTATCAAAACCAAATTAAATCAAATATTTATTATTTTTATTTTTATATTATATTAAAAATTAATGTTTATATTTAAAATATTATATTAATGTCTATTTATATAATTATTCCAATTCAAAATATTTTACTATTTAAATTCAAAATTGAAACTCTAATCAAACGTACTCTTCGTGTATCCAAATTTATGTTTTCCTTTTTTAAAAGAAATTATAATTTTTTATTATAAAAAATATTTTTATTTTTTTAATAAAATTCTTGTTCAGTTAAATAAATATATGTTTTAACTATTTGTTTAGTGCATAATCTGACTCCTTTCTTGTTCAGTCAAATAAAATTACGAAGGTTTGGATTGGGATTTGAATAGTTGTATGAAGTGATATAAATAAAAATTGATATGATATTTTGAATGTAAAATTGATATGATATTTTGAATGTAAAATTGATTTTTAGTATAATATAAAAAATAAAAAATAAATGTTTGATTTGATATTTTTGGAGGAAAAATTTTGTGGAAATAGTAGAAATCCCATAAAATCCCTCAAACAAACACACCCTTAGTGGACTCTATCTTAAAATAGTACTCTAAGTAATTTTTTCGCTGAAATGGTCCTCACGTTGGTCTACCATTGTTGAGGTGGCGTTGATGCAACTGATATATCTGTGCCATGTAGATGCCACATCGAAGGAATATTTTACCGAAAAAAATTTAGTCTATTTAAATATTCTAAAAATTATAATTTAAGTCATATATGAGACTAAAAAGATAGTTTACTACAAAATTTTGTTAATTAAAAAAACATTCATGTGTCACTAGCGCGCATGTACGTGACGATGACACGTCAGTCACGTCAGCAACAGTGGGCCAGCGTGGCGAGTCCGGCATCGAATGACCATTTTAACGGAAAAAATTTATTTACATAACTATTTTTAAATATGGTGCATTTAAAGTTCTAAAATGATAAATGAGATTTTATATTTTGTTTTATATTTTTTCTTTTGTTGTTTTATATTTTTGTGTATTTGAATTTTGATCAAGCCTTGGCTAAATCAATTCGGAGGTTTTTCTAAGTCAGCCGAAAACTCAAGTTTTTAGACTCATACGGCCCTAATCACATTCGCCATCCAAAAACCAATTTCTCCGTAGAACAAATACAACTATCTTTTTAAGGAAAAGAAAAGAACCCAGCCTGTGTCGATAGATGTTATTTTAGTCATTGCAGGAGCTTTTTAGCAAAGATTCAATATAAGCATGTTTTAGATAAACACTTTTGGAGTCGCAGAGTTTTAAAAAAAAAAATTAAAATAGTAAAGAATCACTATATAGCATGATATTTTGTGAGTTGAAATATTCGGGGGTAAAAATAAGTACGATCCGAAAGCTCAATCCAAACACAACATTAAAAAAATCATGTTTGGACCTCTAAAATCAAACTCGATAATTTTTGAGCCTTGCTTAACCCGGTACACTAATGGATCGAGCTATGTCCGGGCTCATAAAATTCTGGCCGTGCATAGCCCGACAAGATTTTTCAAATTAATATTTAATTTTTAATAAATTTATATATATATATATTTAATGTTTGAAATAAAGCCGAAAAATCATACCATGATTTAATGGTAAAAGTTTTAGACGAGATACTTTTTTAAAAATTAATGAAAAATATCAAAATTTTCAAAAATATCTGCACAAGGCAGAACCTTACCTGGCCATAGAGGTAGGTGGTTTCATCTTAGAAGTGTCTTCTTCTTCCCCCGAGAGTGCCCTGAAAGAAAATGTCGATACACACGACTCATGAATTACTAGGAAAATTCATACATATATATATGTTTTTGACAGGGAAGTTCACAGGATCAAACATGGATGCTTTTAACCAGAGGGTAAAAAAACAGCATATCTACACTGCACTGTAAAATGTTATTATGATCAGTAAAGATGTAACCAAATAAACACACAACAAACTGTAATTACAGCATGCTATGCAAACCAGGCAAAGAATTTAAAATTTACTGACAGTAATTTCTGATAAAACAAAGGAGCATGCAATGGAATGGTCAGCTCTTTTGGGAATTTCCATGGCTTTCAAAGTGAAGCCAGAGTGTTGAAATGGTCCCAAGCCTCCTGCGTGTAAAACAAGACAGATGTATTGTGTTCATATTACGTATCTTTTTTTTGTTACTTTTCGATTGAACATTATTAAGGTACCTGAAGAATGTCGAAAATCTTTTCAGCAGTATATTTGTGGTGAGAATCGGCGCTGCTCTGCTGCAGCTTGTCGGGATGCAGGCGCAGTAAAGCTTTCTGATATGCTCTCTTCACTGAATTTGGTTCGATCAGTTCAACGAGAGGTATTGGATTCCATCCGCTTCCGGGCCATAGAACCTGTTGGAAGTGAAGAATTAATGGCAAGACATTCTTTTGTTGGTTTTTTTTTTTACTTGAAAAATTTTTGTAGATAAATTCCAAGTGAACTGGAAATTGGAAGATCGAAGACAGTCTTACATATTGTAGAGTCGACAGCAGTGAACGGATGTTTCCTGTCTTCCCCAGTGACCATTGTTCAATTTTAGCATCTATAGCCTGTCGAATAGTCTTAAGAAATTAAGAATTCTACAAATATCGTGAACTAAGGCAAATACCATAGTTATAATATATATCTTGACAGCAAGTTTGAATCTCTTACATTGATGGTGTCCAAACCTTCACTACCCTGTGTGGCTTCTTCAATATCACCGGACAATTGCGCAACCTGTGGAACCAAAGGTTATTTCCATTATAAGAGATGTCGTTGCATTCGTGACTTATGTATTCGTTAAATGTGTGTAATAAGCAATAAAATTAGTGTGCAACAGCATAGAACACATTGTCACATCTAGGCCAATCCTTATGTTAGAATAATATAAGGTTACGGTTCAATTCAGCATTGTAAATGAAAAATCAAGAAGCTGGATACCCTGAAGTTGTCTTCCAAAGATTCATATGAATTATCAACTGAAGTTGTTGAGTACCGGAGAATTGATTCTGGAAGAGAAAGAATGAAATTTATCAAATGTACTTCAAAGATGATCGATCCCCTCAGAAATAACACGATGTTGAAGCAAATGCATCAATTACAGGCTGAAAGTAATTCTCTTGGTTTATTGAAAAAAAAATGGTAACCTAATGAAGATGCTGCACTTGGATTATTAGAAAGATTGTCACTTTCATCGGTCGTGATCTTCTTTTCTTCACTACTCCGCATTTCATCCTTTTCTAGACAATCATCCGCCTGAAATATCACATAAAAGTAAAATCACCATGAATGAATTTGCAACTTTAAGATATATGGTTCATCTGATCAAATTCAATCAACCAAATTCACCTTTTCTGTATTCAAACAAACATTCTCTTTCTGATCAGTGCCTGTAGCTTTCCATCTATGGCTTCCACTACCGACATGAACATCGCCTTTCCTCTTCCAATTAGGTTCTTGGTTGAAAAACTCAACAAACCCCTTTACCTTTTCTGCAGCCACTCTTTTACCAGGGCCGGCTTCTGGATTAGCATTGCTGTCCTCATGGATTTCAATGCTTTCGATCTTGTTTGAACTCTTACTGCTCTCTGGTTGATCTTTACATGGAGTTGTAATCTTGTTGTCTTCCATTTCTAATAATTTTCAGTAAATTTAAGCTGATCTTCATTTTGTAACTATAAACACATGATCTAAATACACCTTACCTTGTTGCTCGGCCTCAGCAATGAGCAACGAACGAAGAGTTGGCATCACTTCAGACTCGAGAGATTCATCCTTTAGAGAGACTTCTCTTACAAACTTCTCCATAATTCGGATTTCAGCGCGCGACATCCGTCTTTTTGGTTTTATACTTCCTATAGCTCCGCTAGTAACAACTTCTGCACCTAAAGGTTCTTTCTCCTCATCTTTGCTTCCTGAATCTATCTTCTCAGATTCCATTTTTGCATTTACAGGCTCCTTATGTGCAGAAAAATCTTCCATTCTGGTAATGGATGGTCTGCTTTCTGCCCTCTCGTTAAAGCTTGCACACCTTTCAATTCTATCCTTGGATTTTCTTGAACTATTTCTACCCATAAGATTCATCATTGGAATTGCTCTGCCTGAAGCCCATTTATAGATGGAGAAACCATCGAAGCTTTTCCTGTTCTTGTTTGAATTTGGGGAAACTTCCTTTTCATCAGATGTGGCAGTATTTGGTGAATCTTCAAATCTGAAACAAGCCTCACGAGGCAAGGTGCTTTGACGATAAAGACGAGCTTCATTTTTTACCTCATCCTGGCTTCGAACTACTTGGCTTGAAAATCTCGATAAAGTAGTTGAAGAACGCGGACTGATCAGTGCATTTGTAGAGATATTTATCTTGTATGAGCTCTGATTCAAGGAAGCGAAAGGAGGAAGCTCGACTTTGTTCAATTTGGCAGGAAGACTGAAGACAAAATCAAAAGTAATAATTACGAACTGTGCAATGATTTCGATGGCAATGAAAATGGAGATTTAGGAGTACCTGAAGTGTGCAGGGAGTGAAGAAGTACCAAATTGCTCCGATTTAGGCTTGGTAGGGCTTACAAACGTCGAATTAGGGCTCGTACCGAAGAGATTATTCCGATCACGATCGCGATTCCTCGGCGAAGCATAAGATTCGTCTCCTCCAAATATGTCGTCGAAGAAATTGCTGCCGGTGTTTCTCCTTCTCGGCGTCGTTTCCTCTCCAAACACCGGCGTCGACGCTCTGTCCTCCTCGTCCTCCACCTCCACCTCGCCTATCGCCGTTTCAAGGAAACCGCTTCTCCCACGCAATTCCTGCATCGAAAACCGCCGCGGTGGACCACCGAAAACATCGTTGTAATCCATGTCCTCTGACTTTCTTAGCAACGTCTTCGCCGAATTGTAGGGGAAACCTCGAGGAGCGTGTTCCACCTCCATTCTCGACTTCCAAATCAATTTTGCATACACGTTCTGATCCTCAATTCAACAAATCACATATGAATACATACATAAATCCTCCGATTGAATCGCTCAAAACCAAGCAAAAACACTACAAATTGCTTCTCCAATCTCCAAACAACATCAATCCTTCAAAAACCACGTTACTCCATCTCCACTACAACGCGTGCTTCAGATTTCCACGGTCTTCAGAAGATTAGAAACCTACAGGATGCAGATTTCTTGCCTTTCAATGTTCCTGCATGAAAACCTCAGAAATGAATTACAGAAGGAATTAGAGGAAGACGACAGCTAAAAGCGTGTTTCAGTCTAAGAAAGTAAACACGACTATTTCTTAGAATCCAATATAGTCGCATTTTATAGATCAATTGGCGCCACAAGATATATTATATATAAGAAATAAATAAATCAAAATATCCATATAAGACAGTCAACTTATTTAGCAGAAAATATTTATTGGTTCAAATAATTGCAATTTTTGTATAATGGTTAACAGTGAGGACCACTTGGTGCAATGTGTGGAGGAAATTAATAATTTTTTTATTCGTTAATTACACGTCATATAAAGACCTTGTTTTGTTATCCAATTTTCGGATTTCTTTGAAAGAGATTTATTTATTTTTTTTAAATTTCCATAATAAAGCTTGAGATTTAGTTCATGTTTGTTGATAAGATGGGGCCTATATATGAACTATTCGGTATAATTATTATTTCATATTTTGACATTATTCAAAAAGTCTTTTATTATTAATTCTAATTTGAATGTTTGGATTTTGAGCTAGAGATTTGAATAGTAAAAATTTTGAATTTGAATAATTGTATGATGTGATATAAATATGTATTGATGTGATGTTTTGAATGTAAAATTAATTTTTAGTATAACACAAAAAAATAAAAAATAAATATTTGATTTGATGTTTTTAGAAGAAAAAATGAAATAAATAGCGGTATCAATCCAAAATATCTTAGACAATTACCCACTCTGTCCAATAAAATACTATTATTTATTAATTTATTATAAAATCTAAAACATAATTTAGAATAGAATCGAGGGAGCATAAAAAATAAAGATAAATAAATTAAATAAACTCTTAAAATTACTCAGGGAGTATATATATAGATATATATGTATATATATAATATATTTTGTCCAGAATCAATCTATTAATTTTGTTATTTTAATTTGTTTGAAATCAATTTATGCGTTTTATTGTTTAACAATTGTGGTCTTCACAATTAAAATATATACATATATTATATATCTTCACATTTTTGCAATAATGTTATAACTTATTTTAATTCGCTTAAGGCTATAATTGTCCATTTACCTATTTATTGCACTCAAAGCCCAATTCATAGGCCCAATTATCTGATTAAGATCATAAATTGTGGCCCAAACTAGAAATCCATAATAATAACATAATTACGCATACAAACGTTTTTGGGGTTTGAAAACGCGCTTTTGGTAAAGAAACCCTGCAGTTCAGTTCTCTGCGGTGAGGCGTCACGCAGAAAGGGTGGAAGATTTGAGTCGGTCTCGAGCATGGGCGTGAGAAATCCCTTGCGATGGGAGAGCAGGTTCGTGATTCTCGAAGGCATGAATTATGGAATCAGATTTCTCAGTTCAAAACCGAATCCGGCGCTGGATTTGAGGAAGCTCAGGCCGTTGATTCTGCGGCGGATTGAGGAGCGGTGCAAGGATTATCCCGTCAAAGGTATGGTTTCCGTCGCTCGCGATGTTCTCCAGGCACGAGCGAGCTTATACGACGGCGTATCAACTCTCATCCGCCACATTCCTGTCTGGTCTTGCAAGTAATCGAACCGATTTTCCCTTTTCGCTTTTAGAAATTGGAATGATTTTTAGCTCGAGTACTGATAAATATGCTCGCTCCTATTAGAAATTGTAGTTACTGTTTTTTTTTTTTTTTTTTTTTTTTTTTTTTTTTTTTTTTTTTCTGATCATGTGCATTTTTCTGTGATTCAATACATTTTTTAGTACAATCAGTTACCTTGTAGAAAACAACTTTTGCTGAATTGTTGGTAGTTTTTGTTGATTGCATTTCCATGAAAATTAGACAAGTGATCCTCGTTCCTACCGAAAATTTGTTGTTGTTGCTGTTGCTGTTGCTGTTGTTGATGATGTTCATTGTTCTGCAACTGATATCATATGCAAATACTATTAAGTATTTACCTTGTGGAGATCAACTTTTGCTGATTATTTTGTAGTTTTTGTTGTTGGTGTTGGTGTTGTTTATGGTCGTGTGCATTGTTCTTTGATTGAAGTCGTATTCACGTACAAATTCTTACCTTGTGAGGAACAACATTTTCTGAATTTGTTGTACTTTTTTGTTAATTGCATTTCCCTGAGAATCCTATAAAAAATCTGTTGTTACAGTTGCTGTTCTTTTTGGCCACCATATGCATCATTCTGTGCTTGAGATCATATTCAAATACAAGTATAACACTTTATGGAGATCAACTTCTCCTGAAGTTTTTCCTACTTTCCGATTGATTTCCAAGAAAATTCAACAAGTGAAAATTAGTTTATATGAAATAAATTGTTCCATTGTTAACTCCAGCTTTGTTTGATTCAATGCTAATCGACTTATCAACACTTCTAGTTACTATTCCGGGATCAAATCTATTTCATAACACTAAACTTTCTTCGATTGTGTTTCGATTACAGATTCTGCTCAGAAGTCTACATAGGAGAAGTGGGCCATCAAATCAAAACCTGCCATGGCTACCGGCGCCACAAGAAGAACAGCGTCCACACCTGGACAAAGGGAGGCGTAAACGACGTAATAGTCCCGGTCGAAACTTTCCACTTGACGAAAATGTTCCAGGACGTAATCAAACACCGCGAGAGATTTGATCACGATCGAATACCCGCCGTAGTCGAGCTATGTCTGCAGGCCGGGGCGGATTCGAACGATCCATACGTAATAACCACCAATGCTTCCTCCGATGCCGCGGCGACGTCAGCGGACGAGCTGAGATTGTTAGCGACCCGAACTCTTCGGGCGTGGGAGGCGGTGCGGTCGGGGGTGCAGCGGCTGCTGTGCGCGTACCCAGCAAGGGTGTGCCGGAACTGCTCGGAAGTTCACGTCGGGCCATCGGGGCACGACGCCCGGATGTGTGGGGTGTTTAAGTTCGAGGGGTGGCGTGGGAAGCATTCCTGGCAGAAGGCGGGGGTTGACGACTTGGTTCCAAGGAAGATTGTGTGGTTCCGGCGGCGGCAGGACCCGCCGGTGCTGGTGGACGCCGGCCGGGAGTTTTACGGCCACGCGCCGGCGGTGGTGGATTTGTGTAGTAAGGGTGGTGCAATGGTGCCTAAGAAGTATACTGTGTTGATGAAAGTGGATGGCTTGACTGCTCCTGCTCCTGTTGATTCAAGTTAGTGATGGTTCTTGCAGGGAAATTTGGTGAGATCATTATTGGCTTTACTCTTTTAATTATATATATATATATATATTACAATTTCACAAATTACATCATTCTCTAAGGTTTTCATTTACTTTTTTTTTTTTTTTTTTTTGCGTATTATATTTGATTATTAATTATTATATCAAAACATAAACACAAATTTAAAAAAATAAAAAATTGCAAGAAAAATGATATTTGTTAAAAAAAAAAATTATACAAGTATAAAGATATTTTTCATATTAAGTACAATGACACAAAAGCTAAATGTGACCATGAGAGGCGGACGGAGGGAGTATAGTTTTTTTATATAATGCGGAAACCATGACGACTATTTTTCAGGTGCTCTTTGGGTAAATTTCCGGCCGAACTTAATAGCTTGCAAATTAGGTTTTGCAAACTAAGTTCGACAAGGCAAGTAACGCGTTCACGAGTCTATCTCCGCATCACCAGGTCATTCTTTATCATAGGACAATTTGATATTATTGTTACTAGTAAAATTGTTATAGTTATTTGTTATAGTCCCTCAATCCTATTTTAAGGTTTATGTATTTTTTTCGTTTGTAATATCTATCAATTATATTACAAATTATAGTATTATAATTTTTGTATTTTATTTATAGTTATACTCCCTCTGTTCTATCAGAATTGAACCCTTATTCAAGGTGACGATATTTAATCAATTAATAATAATTAGTTATGATTATTATATTATTTTTTTATAATTAATAATTAACATAAATTAATTTTATAAAAAATAGTGTAGTTTTAAATATAGATAAAAATATTTTTGTTTTAGAAGAGAGGTAGAAATAAAGGGGTTTTGAGTGGGTCCATGTTGTATGTTATGTAGTTAATTAATTTGATTTCTATTTGTTAAATATATTTTGATTTAATAATTTTTATCAAAAATAAAAATGTGTCAATGGTTACGGATAGACAAAAATAAAAATAATGTCAATTATGGTGGGACGAGATAATATTATTTTTTAGTAAGAATGTAATATCTTTATACAATATTACTAATTACTACTAAAAAAATTAAATAAATGACTTGATTATCATATTGATTTAAATCAATTAGTATTATATTGATAGCATATAAATTATCAAAATGTAGTACAAATTAAAAATTATTAATTAAAACTTTTTTATTTCTATCACTCTCATCAATAAATAAATATTTTTATCTATATTTAAAACTTCTTATTTTTAATAAAATAGTTTTTAAGTTAATTATAAATAAATAAATAAATTTTTTTATTTATTTGTATTTACATAAAATTTTATTCTCTACAAAATGATATCCATATTGTATATATTTTATTGATATATAATGCTAAAAATATTTAAAATGCCAACAATACTATTCATATAAAAATAATAAAATAATATCATAATTTATTATTAATAACTTACTAATTAACACTACCTAAAATACCGTGTACTTAAGCAAAAGAGTCATCTTGACCGGGAGGGAGGGAGTATTATACAAGAACAACAATAATATTTAAGAAATGTTGCCTAAAAATATTATTCTCTTTAAACCTAATATACTATTCAAGTATTTATTTTCTACTTAAAAATGATAATAATTCAGTAGAGCCCTAAAACAATCTACAATTTTAGAAACATCCCATATACAAATAAACACAGCCCCTAACCCCCAAGGCATGGCACGTTCTTGTGTTGTAATTTCATTTTTGTCCTACCTAATGTAGCACTATTACTACTAGTTTCTATTTATATATATATATATATATATATATATATGCGCGCTTTGTTGTTTCAAACCGAAATTAACATGATTCTAATAAAAATATACTACTTCCTCCGTCCACGAACTAACGTCATAATTTCCTATTTGGAACGTCCAACAACTATTATTCTATTTCATTTTTTAAACACAAATTTTACATTTTTACCCTTAATTCATTTATTACTTTAATCTCTATCATACACTTTAGGGTAAATTTGTCCATTCATAACAAAAAAGACAATCACCTAAAAAATCGTACAAATTTGTATATTTTTTTATAAAATATCTCATCACAATATTATATACAAAAATTCAAATCATTATTCAATTTCAAATTACAACCAAACAAATATATACATTAGGTGCAATTATTTTTATGTGTTTAGGATGTATTTAGAGTTTTTTGAACAGTAATTTGAAGGTATTGTTTTTATATGCAAATATAACACTCCTTTAGTCTAGCAACAAAATATACATATTCCTATTTTGAATAGTCTAATTAGAAAGTAACTATTTTATCAAATATTTCATTTTTCTCACAAATTATTTTATTTTACCGTCACATCATTATTTTTTAACAAAAACAAATTTGTTTTTATACCATTTTTAACTATCATTACAATTAAAATAATATTATTTTTAAAATTCGGCTAAAAAATAAAAATAAAAAAAATAAGATCAAGCTCTTAACTTTTCTTTTTTTTTTTAATGCCAAACATATTTGTAAGAAGCAAATTTGTTCTTTTGTGATTTCAAACTAAAATAAGCTTATTCATTCTGCACAATTTTTAACTTTTTAAAAATGAGATCAAACTCCTAATTTTATTTATTTTGTTTTTTTTAAAAAAAAAAAATACCTTAACATATTTATATATTCTACGTCATTTTCAATAATAATATATTATTTTTCCTAAAACAAATATCACATCAAAATTATATTTAAACAGAAACTCAAACAAAACAAATACCTCATTTCAAATAAATTTAAAGCAATGACTACATAAAACGAGAGAGTGATAGATCCACAAGATATCTTGCAATGAATAAACATGCCAAAAACTCCCTACACCAACAAATTCAAGATCTAAATTATACATACATACATACATATATATATATATAGAGAGAGAGAGAGAGAGAGATGATGAATCAATAATAGTAACAAAAGGTTCAATCAAATAAAGCTACATATAACATACATAATCAATCCACAACAAAAAATAAACAAGGAATGTAGCAAAAAAAAAGCATCACACATAATATATAGTTTCACAAAGTAACAAGACACACATTTCTAACAAGATGATGATATTGATGATCATAAATCATGTACTATGTCAAAGAAAATTTCCCAAAACTAAATGTAGTAAAAGAAAAAAACACAAAAAGCAAGAAACTTTGCACATACCTCAACACAATTCCATTTCGATTCCGACTTCGATTTCGAATTCCCGTCTACTCCGACCCGTCCGGGAACGGGTCGAGCGCGTCCTGCTTCCCATTCACATAGAACTCGACTACAGCTTTCATTCTCGGAAACTTGTCCGGATGATAATTCAGATGAACGATAACCGGCTTAACCTTCTTCAAGTTGGCGTCTTTCCTCACAGTCTTGAAAAGAACCTTACTGTTCATAAATAGGTAGAAATCCATCGTTCGTTTCGATGCGTGAAGCCCGACGTAACCCGGATGCGACGGGAAGAAAAGCTCTTCGTTAAATACAGCTTGATCCCAAGCTTTCTCCTCTCGAGAAAGCCTCCCGGCGATTCGATCCAAAAGCTCAATGGACGGGACGGTAGGTCGAATGTAGAAGAATCCGGAATTATAGACCCAAATCCTCATCGTGTGGGCGTATCGGGCCCAACCCATCGCGGGCTCGTCGAAAACGTCGTTGTACCCGTACGCCGTCATATTGTTATGGCCATCCGACATCGATTCGACGTCGGAATCTCGGTACAAGTGGTTAAACGGGTTCTGCAAGAAGACTATATCGACGTCGGAGAGGAGTACGCCGTAGCCCAGCTGGAGAAACTCCCTCAAGATTCGGAATTTCAGGCCGGAGACGACATGGTTTCCGCCCGATCTTCCGATTCGATCGACGGCGTCGTTCCGATCCCGTTGGTAGTACGGGACGTTGTTCGACTTGCAGAGATCGACAATCGCGTCGTCCAACGCCACCACGAGATAATTCCGAATTCCGACACGTTTGATGTTGGTGAACCACACTTCGAGCATCTCCTTCACGTTGGAATTCGCGAGTGCGACGATTAGCTCGTTGCCAACTGCGATTTCAGATAAGATTTTCGCGAGTCTCGGGTTCACGGATTCGTCGGGAGCGACGGCTGGATTCGTCCGTAAACCCTTGACGGTACCGAACGGCCCGGCCTTTTGAGGCTTACTCAAAACCGAGAATTGCTCCCGAGCAATGTCTTTACCCTGCTCGGCTAACCTTAGCTTTTCATTCAACTCCGTCACCTGCCTTTTCAATTCGACGTTCTTATCTGATAACTTCATAATATCGGATTTCAATCGATTCACTTTCTCAGTCGACTCGCAGGAATCCGAACCCGAATCAACCTATGCACCAAATCCATTAAATCATCAAGTAGTATACTAACAAAAGTTTAATCCTATGTATGCTTCTAACCCCCAAAATGCATATAAAATCGAAAAAACAAGTGATCGAAAATAGCATAAATGTCGACAATGGAGATTTATTGGTAACAGTTTATCATCATCTCCATAGACAATATATATATGTGAAGAACTACATTGCATATTGCAGGATAATCAAATGGTAGCATATTAAGCAACAATCAAGTAGATTAATTGTATTAGATTTAGATCCATCTAAGGTTAACAATAAGCTAAAAAATGTCAACAGCACGAAGTAGATATGAAAATTTTCGCTAGTGTAGAAAAACCGCATACGAAGTTTTTTCAAGTAACAGTTGATTCAAATTCAACGCAATGATCGCATCGGGAAACTGGATATGAACAGAAAATTGAACGGAATCTACGAAAAAAGTCGACGTAAACCCTAGCGCAAGCGATTGAAGCTTAGTTGATAGGAAAAACGAACAAAATCGTCACCTTAAGATTGGTATTCGCCAGGGGACGAATTTGAGCGGCCGGATTTGATGAGAAGAATCCGTGGGGGAACAGGAAAGCGAAAACGCATCCCATGGCTATACCGATCCCAATCGCCGCCACGATTCGTGATCCGCGGACTGACGACGGGTTGGACTTGTCTCTCCGCCCCACCGCCATTGTCGATTACCTCGAATTCTCCCCAGAAACAAGCGAAAAAAGCAAAAAAACACAAAAAAATCAAATTACCATCAACAGTAGAGCAAACAATCGCCTCTAAACCCTAACTATTGCGTATTCTTCTTCTCCGGTGACTTCAACTCTCCATTTCCGGGGATTTACCATGGAAGTGTGTGGGAAGGTTTTACTTTGTCTGTGCTAAAGAACGAAGACTCTCGAGTTGAAAAGAAGTAGGGCAGCCTATAATTAGAATCGGAAATGGGAAAATGGGAAATTATCGGATGCTACACGGAAGCTTACTGTATTTATATTTCCTACATTTTTAACTCCATTCGTTTTAATATTATAAAATATTTATTTTATTATAAAATGTCACTCCTCTGTTACACCGAAAACACTTTATTTAAAATATAAATATTTAATTAGTTAATAACAATTAGTTATTATTATTTTTTATATAATTAATAATTTTAAAATAAAATTAATATATATAATTAAAAAAATTAAAAATATATATTTAAATATTTAAAAATTATATAGCAATTAAAATATATATATAATATTAATATTATTTTATAGAGAATAAATTTTTTTATAATATAAGTAAATAAAAAAATGTATATTTTTTATTTGTAATTAACATAAATCTGATATGTAGTTTTAAATATAGGTAAAAATATTTATTTTTTTGAGGAGAGAGATAGAAATAAAGGGGTTTTGAGTGAATCTTACATCATTCATGATGTGTAGTTAATTAAGTTTGATTTATATTTGTTAAATATGTTTTGATTTAATAATTTTATCAAAAATAAAAATGTGTCGATTGTTACAAGACAAATAAAAATAAAAATAGTGTCAATTGTGGTGGGACGGAGTAAGTATTTTCTTCTTCTTCGTATTAATTTTGGAATATTAATTATTATATCAAATACAAATTTAAAAAATTACAAAAAAAAAAAAAATACTTACATTAGTATTTTATAATACTAATAGGATGACATTGTACTAAAAAATTATACAAATATAAAAATATTTTTAATATTAAAATAGAATTAAACAAAGTAAACATGATTGGTCGAAGCGGACGGAGGAAGTATGATACTCTCATCTTTGAGTTTAAATATATTTAGATTTAATTTTTTATATAAAATTAAAAAATTATACTAATATTTTAATTAAAGTCAAAAATTAAAAATAATATAAATATATTTTTATTTTTATACTTTTTTAAAAAAAATAATAATACAATACTCCCTCCGTTCTAAACAAGGTGCAACATTTGCTTTTGTCACGCCGTTTTTAGGTGGGTAGTATTAAGTAAGATAATTTAGAAATTAGATGATGTGATGGAGAGAGAAATATATATATTTTATTATTTTATTTGGATAATGTGAAGAAATATGTAGGGTAGTGATTAAGTATAATTAATTATTTCTTATTTTGGAAATATTTTATGGTGTTTGAGACATACCAAAAAAGAAATATTGCAGGGTGTTTGGAACGGATGGAGTACTTACTAGAAAAAATAATTACAAATAAAAATATTTACATTTTCTGAGTCGACGGGTAGAATATAAAAAATAAAATAAAAATTTTAATTATTTTTTCTTTTCATGTTTATTTTTTTTATTTCGGTCTTTTTTTTGCCTTTTTTAAAATAATTATACATTTAATCACATTTTTATAATTTTATAATATTAATTAAATTATTTTATTGTTTTATTTTTAATATATAATTATTTGTATTACATAATAACTATATTAATTATTTATTAAGGGTGTGTTTGTTTGTGGTTGGAATTTGGAGTTGAGATTTAAATATTACAAATTTTAAATTGTAGTAATAGTTGTATGATGTAAATGTATTGAATGTAAATTTAATTTTTAGTATAATATAAAAATGATAAATAAAAATAGATATTTGATTTGATATTTTTAGGTGAAATTTTTTTAAAAAAGAATAAAACTTTAAAAAAATCTCCCAAACAAACACACCCTTAAATATACTTCTTCTAATTTGCTTTTATAGTAAAATAGATAATTTGTATAAAATGTAAGAGTATTTTATTTCTAAAAATAAATAAATTTTTGTATAATATACATTATTTAAAATAAAAATTAAAAATACATCAAAATTAAAAAGGTAAATAAACAATCTTTACTATATTTTTAAGATATTATCACCATTCGTTATAATTATATTAGATTTATTTATTTATATCACTATCATAAATTAGTTTTATAGAAATTAAAAAGGTAAATAAACAATATTTACATAATTTCTTCGTATTTTTTTTTTATTTTCGTTCGTCCCACATAATTTGTCATTTTTTTTAGAATATAATTATACACTTTAATCATATATTAAATTTTTATAATTTTTAAATTTTAATTAAACTATTTAGTTATTTTAATCTTAATCTATAATTATTTTTATTATAGAATAATCATTTTTACTAATACATTTCTTAATTATTTACTAATTATACTTACCTAAATTATAGCTTAAACAATAATGCGTCCATATCCGTCTCATAACAAAGTATCTATTTTTCCATTTTAGTCAAAGTATCAATTTCTTTTTTTAGTAACTGTACTGGGTACTTAACGTTACAAATACCCTTACAATTTACAATATATTACACAAATATCATTACATTTATATCACACATACTAATAAGGTCATTTTAATTATTTCTACTTTATTCCTACTACATCATAATATAATACTAATATTTCTAAAATTGTGTGCAAAAAGCAGATGAATATATTTGTTATTTACTATTTGTATATATTCAATGTTTAAATAGGTTGTTGATTTAAACTTGTGTTTATATTTTATTTTGATGTTACAACAATCCAAATCCAATTTTGTAATTGTGTCTAATTTGAAACTTTCTAAAATTTTGTAAATTTTGAGTTATAATTGTTTCTCTTTTATTATTATAGATGTAATATACTATAAAATAAAAAATAAGCATAAAATTTTATATATATATAGACATATTTGGAGTATTTTATATATAATATATATATATGCTTTGTTTTCTTAATATATTTGTTCTTTTTTATAAAATATTACATAATTCTTTAAATACAAATTAAAAATAACCTTTGTTGGATTAAAGTATGTTAGAAAATAAATTATTTTAAAATTATATTTGAGGGTGGAATGAAACATACGATAGCTCGTCAAACTCTGTCGCCAGCGGGTACTGTCCATAAAAAATATTTAAACTTTATGTAAATTTAATACTACTTTATTAATTTATATTTTTTTATTATTTAATTTAGCAATTTCTCGAAACAAGTTGTCATATTTTTCAGCGTCGGAATTATGCCTAAGTCAACTCTGACGTGGAATATTAGAAAAAAATATAGTCCATTCGTCCTATCGAAATATTGTTATTTTTTAATTTCGTCCATCCCAAAATAAGGTTACTATTTTCTAATTTAATATCTGTACTACTTACCTAACATAATAAATACCCTTCCAACTTATAATATATTACACAAATGTCATTACTTTTATATTACACTATACTAATAGGGGGATTTTTGTATTTTTTACTACAATCCAATGTAATACTAATATTAAAAAATTTACGTACAAAAAACAAACGTCACTCTTTCATCGGGACGGAGTGAGTATTTTCTCTATCTATTAGAATTAGTTCACTTCTCATTTGATCACCTCTCTCAAAACGAAACTTTATCCCCATATTCTCACATACATAGTGTATATATATACACATAAGTGTGTATATATATACAATATGTGTATGGAACAGTGGGACAGAATTTTATCTGGAACACACGATCCCGTCCGAGTTCACTTAGATTCGACGGAAATTTTTTTAAAAAATAATTATTTTATTAAAAATAATGATAAAAGTAAAAATAGTAATTGAAAGTATTTTTGAAAATTTATTAAAAATTAAAATAAATGAATATAGAATATAACAAAATAGTGGTATTGATAATAATTAAATATTAATTTTTTCGAATTTTTCAAAATTAATAATTAAATAATTTAACGGATAAATTAAAAATAAAAGTAGAAATAAATTAAGCGTACGGATAAATTAATTATTTAATAATTACAAATAAATAAATAGTCAATGTGATTCCGTCCGCCCTAAAGCTACTACCGAATGCATTGACTAATGAAATGAGAGAGAAATTAAAATTAATTAGACGTAAATGCAGCATAATTAATTAAGAGTGCATTAATTTAATCGTACGGCTGCCTTTTTCTATATTTGGGTAAAATTAATTGTAATTGTTTGCAATTTGGTATTTTATTTATTTATTTATTAATTATTATGAATATTAGTTATTTATTTTGCACTAACAATTAGTATATTAGTGTGTGTTTGTTTGTGTGTTTATGGGATTTTGGATTTGAATTTAAATAATTATTTAATATAATATAAAGATATTTTGATATGATATTTTTATGTAGAATTAATTTTAAATGTAATAATTTAAAAAAAAAAAAATAGATGTGATGTGTGTTTTTTGTAATTTGAATTGAGAATATTAGAATTTTATATTTAAATAATATTTTATTTGATATTTTAAAATAAAAAATATATTTTTTTTTTAAAGAGAAGGAAAAAATCTAAAGAAGACACTTATTATATATATATATATATATTAAAAATCTAATAAAAATTCACAAGCTAACAAACTTTTAAAACATGTTCATTAGGGTTTGTATAGTTATGATTTTAAATTGATTTGAAAAGAAATATTAATATAAGTTTTTATTAAAACAATACTTTTGATTGATATTTTTGTAAAAATAAATATCATATTTTATTAAAAAAAATTATATAATATTTTAATTTAAATTTGAAATTATACAAGAACAAATCCCGCTTGTAATCATAAAATATATAATAAATATATCAATAAAAGTACATAATACATCATTCTCCATAAGACTAGGGCTGACAATGGGTCGGGTCCAATTGAACCGAGATCCGACCCGAATACAGATGGTTGGACCTGAAATATGAACTGAACCCGATTGTACTCGGATTTGACCATACTCGAATCCTGCCCGAATAATACACGATAAGACCCGACGGACCCGACAGACTTGAATTTTTTTAAAAAGTTTTAAAATTTAACTTAAAGTTGGATCCGAACCCAAACCCGACATATATTAAAATTTATATATTTTATTCAAAAATATTATAATAAAATAATAAATAAATAAATAAATAAAACTAAAAATATATTTTTAATATAATTTATATTATTAAA